GAAAAAAAAAAAAAAATGAAACACGATTACACAAATGCATTCCCAAACCCAACGACTCCCCAACCTCTAAACCTAACATAGGTCATAACTTAAAAACACAAAAGGGTCTTTCATCTATCTATCTTACATGCCTTCAAGAAATGCTTCAATAACCTGATGCTCAAAAGTCGAAACAGCATGTATGAGACAGCTGGCTGCCGAAAATCGGCAACCGTTGAGCTCTACAAGAAATAGTCAGGCGTCCTTCGGGTAACATCCGGTTCTCCTCTCCTTGGAGCTGGTTCAAACTGCAGTGAATCACAACACACAAAACATGCATTATATTTTATGCCCAACATAAGCAACATTGCTGCTAACAAACAAGAGTGAAAATACAGCTTGCAAAAAGATAATAATTAACTCTGAGGGAGAGAAAGAGAGAGAGAGAGAGAGAGAGAGAGAGAGAGAGAGAGGACCTGGATGAAGGTATGCTCCCTGCAGTCATCAACTTCCAAAATGGAGGCCATATTTCCACACCGGTAACAGTAGTTTGGTGCGCTAAAAATAGTGACAACCTTTTGTTCCTGTGTATAAGGCGGCCAAAATCAACAATGAATATATCTACATCCTCTAATTTTGACTGACAATAATACAAGATCGTAAAGTTATGAGTTCAAATAATTACATGGGCCCAGTTATATCCTTCCATAACCAGCTGATGAGCTCTTGCAATTAATTTCAGATTGTTGGTGTGGTTGAATTGCTCAGATATGTCCTGCAAAAAGTAGAACAAAAGATTCAGAATTAGGTTCAAAGAAAGGAAAAAAAAAAGAAGAAAAAGAAAATAGAAGAAGCATTCAAGAACCTGGCCAAAAGTGTATCCAGCACCACGAGGCGAGATACCCCAACCACATCGATCATCAGGATCAGACCACAAAAGGTCGCACATTGGACCCTCATGTGGAACTTCTTGAACACGATCAAAGTTCCTTATATTATCAAGGGTTTCAACAGAAGGGGACAATCCACCATGCAGACAGAAGATCTCTGATTCAACCTACAGAAACATCACCACCCAAATAAAACCTAAGGAAGGTAAAAGAATTGATATCATAAACAGATGCACGTAGCTCCAGCTACAAATTAAATTGCTCCACATATTTCTGCTCCTGCAAAACAATAATAAGAAAGGCTTGCTATTGACAATTGAGATCTACTTTCACTTACAAAGGCAGATATATACCAACCCATGGAGACAGACAGAGAGAGAGAGAGAGAGAGAGAGAGAGAGAGAGAGAGAGAGAGAAGGATGACATCAAGAAATTGGGCAAGAACAGCAATAAGAAATGTCTACCCACCAGCGCAGTCAGAGGGAAATAGTCAAACAGGTCAGTGAATATCTTCCAAACATTGGCATTTCCATACCTATAATCAAAGAGGGAATTTAAGGTCTTTGTATTAGTATCAGTAAAAGCAAAAATTTCTCTAAGAGTACGCGCAAAGTGAAAAAAGAACACATTCTTAGGCACCACATCTTTGTAACTTAAACAAATACAGGACTCGTATCCTTATTGACCACACATTTTAACCATTAATAAATTTTCAGTACTCAATGTCTAAATCATATCCCAACTGAATTGTTGCATCCTAAAATAGATCTTATCTTCAGCACAATGCAAAATTTAGATACAGATAAAAGTAATCAGCAGGAGTCTCAACCGACACTATCATCATTATGAACCCACAATCATGTTTGTTACGAAATCATATGAAAACTTACACAGCTTTATTACTAAGGAAAATGCAATTTACAAGAAGATTTGGTTTGCGTCACTTAATCAAAGTCTTCCAAGATTTTGCAGAAGCGAGAATATAAGTATATGATGCACAATTCTTAACAGTTTGGGAATAGTGATATGAGAAGAAAATACTCACTTCCTCAGACATTCATCATAAAAACCATATACTTGAGTGATCTGCAAGAAAGAAATAATTCATGACTGAAAGCATCAGCAAAAAACTTAATGCTAACTCAAACAACGCATACAGCAGTCTGGAGCAATTAAATAATGATTATTACCTACAGTATAAGAGTTTCAGTTCCTCATATCCCAAGGTTGATAAAATGAGAAAAGAAAACAGAAACAAAAAATAAGAAAAATAATGGCACGAAAAGCAAAAAAAAAAAAAAAATGAACATTTCCTCTACATAAAACATAACCAACTTTCCGACTGAATGTGGTGGATATGTAACAGCTGCCAGCAGTCTCGGATTTTATGCCAACCAGCCATGCATTGTTCATTGCACTATGACACTATCTTTGCAAGACATAAAAAATGTCCTCAATCTTGTGTTACTAATCAAAATTGGGTATGGAAAAGCAAAAAAAAAAAAAATGTACATTTCCTCTACATGAAACATAACCAACTTTCCGACTGAACGTGGTGGATATGTAACAGCTGCCAGCAGTCTCAGATTTTATACCAACCAGCCATGAAGTGTTCATTGCACTATGACTCTATCTTCGCAAGACATAAAAAGATGTCCTCAATCTTGTGTTACTAATCAAAATTGGGTATGTTCACACAATGGAAAATAATATATCAGTTTCTTCAAACCATATACAGCACCAAATTCAACAAAATACTTTTTTCGATCACACATGCAGTTGACATGTCAACGTATTTATTACCCCATCCTTAGAAAAAATTTTAAAAATAAAATGGAAAACTAACTCCATACTGCATAAGATGTTTAAGGTTTTAAGGGACGAATGAGAGAAAAAAAAAAAAAAAGGAAAA